CAACATCAACAACAACATCAAAAACAACATCAACCACAACAACAGCAACAACTACAACAGTAACAACTGCAACAACAGCAACTACAACAACGGCAACAACTACATCAGCAACAACTGCAACAACCGCGACAACTCCTGTACCACCAGCATTCTTCTGTCCAGGAAACAGCATAGGTGCTTATTGTAATATTACATCAGATACTTGTTCTATGGCACAACCATGTCTTAATGCAGCAACTTGTTTCCCGGATGCGACAGTACCATTAGGATACACATGTGGATGTCAAACAGGCTATACAGGCAGTACTTGCCAAAATGATGAGAGAATATGTAAAGACAATACATGTTGGTAAGAAACTATGTTTATTTTAATTTAATTTTATATAAATTCTATTTCTATAGGAATAATGGAACATGTAGTGAAGTGAATTCTACTACGGCTGACACTAATGCTACAACTTTTTATTGTAATTGCAGTGAAAGTTTTACCGGTGTGCATTGTGAACTTAAAATTGATTTATGTGTTAACATAACATGTCAAAATCATGGTAGATGTCAAACAGTTAACATGACTTGGAGTTGTATATGCTTAGATCCATCACTTTATTATGGTAATTATTGTGAAATTCAAACAACTGCATTAAAAGTTAAACAAGCGATAAGTAGATCATTTGCAAGCGTTGCAATAGTTGCTCTAGCATTAACATGTTCGTTTGTTGTACTAATGGATGTTCTTAAATACGTGTTTAAAATTGATCCTGTTAAAACTGAAAGAATACAAAAAGCAAAAGCAAAAAAAGCAGTAAAACCAAAAGCACCAAATGTTGCTGTTCGATTTCAATATGTTGCATAATAAACATTAACTCTTCTTATAATTGCTTTTAACATATTTATCCTTTTTTTTCTCATATATATCGTTTCTTTCTCGTATATATCTTATTTTCTCATATATATCGTTTTTCTTCTCATATAGATCGTTTTTTTTCTCATATATATCGTTTTTTTTCATATATATCGTTTCTTTCTCGTATATATCTTTTTTTTCTCATATATATCTTTTTTGTTGTTTCGTATCTCAAATAAAAAAAAATCGCTTTCGTTCAATGTCATATAAGGATAATTAAAAAAAAGGGTGTATAAAAACTGTATAAAACAATTCCTAGCAGAAAAAGTAACAAATATTTTTTATATATTCACATTATTTCATATATAAAGAGTAATAGCAGGTGTACAAATATTTTTCATTATGGATAGGCGACAAAGAATCAGAATAAGACAATAGAAACTTGATAATAAAAATTTTTCATAGTATATTTTTTTTGAAAAACCTAACAGTTTTCTCATCTGTTTTTACAAACATCTGCCACGAGGTAAATTAAAAATTTTAAATTAGTTATATTGTTCTTTGAAACAAAGCAAGGCCACGTAACAGTTTCCTTGAATGCATTATCGCAATTAAAACAAATATCGATTATTTATTCAAATGCAATTTACATTTCCAAAACATAAAATACATCCTTTTTATATGTCATTATACTTCAAACTTATTATGTAAATACAAATAATACAATGATTTTCAAATTCATTATTTGTTAATGAAATTTCTAAAAATTTTATTGTTAAATAAGAAATTTATTTTTGAAGATTAAATAAAGAAAATATATTATAAACGATGTTCAAAAAAATTATCAATAGTTAATTCAAGTATTGCTGGATCATAACGAATATATTTTTCTCTATGTTTTGTAAAATCTTTATTTGCAAATTTATTATAATATGTTTTAAACATTTCCATAATTAATTTTTTTCCTTCATTTCGTAAACAATCACGTAAATCAACATCACTAACAATATATTCTTGACATTGTTGTCGTAAATTATCAATAGCGGTATTAATAGATGAAAAACTTTCTTTCAATTGTTCACGATCACGATCACGTAACTAAAAAAAACAAGAAATTTAGAAAAAATTCAAAACATGTTCCACACGAACCTTTCCATCTGATAAACGATTACCATTATCATATTCAAGCATTTGTTGAATAGCAATGATCAATGGAGTATAACTGTTATGTTTATTGAAATTATTTTAGTTAAGATTATGTGAAATGAAAAATAACATACCATCTTGTATAATCTTTTAAACTTGCTTGAAAATCTTCTTCATATTTTGATTTCAAATCAGATTGACAACGATGAATAATAGTTAAAATAGGTGAACTAAATTAAATAGATTTATTATTACAAAAAGAAAAAGATAAACATGAATTTAATATAACAAAATTTACTTTTCAAGACGTTTAAGAAGATAATTAACATTATTAAGAAGAAATATCGAACGAAGAGTAGGATCTTGACGTGACATATAACTATCAGTTTTCTTCGATAAATTAGTATGAAGCCATCGTACCAATTGTGCTAAAGAATTCTTTTGATAAATTAATTCAATCTTCAGATAAATACTTACCAAAATATGTACCCAAATCATAAAGACCTTTGTCATTTGAGGATGGAATGAAGGTATCTATATCTAATAAATCAAATTGAATATAATTTTATTTATTAATGATCGATGAATTTCTCAAAATATTCCAATTATAACGTAGAAAAGTCATTGAAATAGTCGGTAGTATGTGAATCAGGGCTCGCGCGAGCGGGAAGGAGTGTACACTCCTCCAATAATTGAAAATTTTTATTTTTTTTCAACAACAAGAGCTGATTTAGAACAAATTTTGCTCTGAATACCCTTTTACACTCCCAGAAATTTTTACACTCTTTCAAAACTCGCTACACTCCGCCAATCTTATACCCTTCGCGCGGGCCCTGATGTAAATTATATTAAGATGTTCGTATGCAAGATAGCAACTAGGAAAGTTGACTCATGAATCCTGATTTATATTATGGCTTCATCTTGAATATTTTCAAGTCTTTTAAACCAACAAGTAACGCTCGTCTGGAGATTCGTTCAACTCCTTCTTGTAGGAACGGTGTGCCTTCACTACCAGTGAATAATTTCAAGAAACTGAGTTCAGATTTGAGTTCCTCGATCTCCCTTAGCGTTGGTCAAGTTTAATAGAACTCCTTCACTGAGATTGTTTTTGGGTCAATTAGTTAAGTACGGACACACAAGTAAGCAAACAATTTATTCTTACTAGACTCTACGAAAAAGAGAATAGATTTAACATAACGACACACTACGAAGGATTATTTTTCCATACAAATCGAATAAAAGTTCTTCTCTAGACTAAGATGCTATTACTTTTTTATACTCGTACAGATATAAAGCATTAATAATTTTTCTTACTTTGTTCTTGTTCAACATAGAGCGAAGCAATGATAGTAGCTGTATCTTCATAAGCAAGTAATCCTTCCATAAATGCTAATATATGTGATGTTAACGGATGAACATTTCCACCTTGACTAGGTGGCGATGAATCTAATCGAATTTCATCTAAAATTTCATGAAGACAAGTAACAGCCTAAAATATATAAATTTCTCCAATAGTTATTAAACTATTTAAATTCTTACGGATTGTTCGAATGTTGCAGAAAGTGTAGTAAATTGTTGTCTTCGAGCAACATCACTTTCCTTTTTTTGATTAGAAAAGAAAAAATTAAATTAAACTATTTTATTCATCAATAAGAAATTTAATATACTTGAAAAAGTCTTGAAAATATTGGTCTAGATTTTAAAAACCATTTTAATATAGAAAATATTCCATAAACTGCAAATTTTCCTGTATCTAATTTATGTGGTAATCGTTGAATTGATTCACATAAAACTAATGCTTCTTCACGCATATAAACTAATGGTAATTCAATTAATTTTGTAAATACAAGTGATTGTAATTCTTTCGGAAAAACATAATTAAGTAAATCTCGATTACGTTGTAAAAGTGCAATAAATGCATCAAGTAATAATTTATAATTATTTGTTTCACTATCATCACTTGATTCAAACATTAAAACATCATCAGTTCCTGTTGTAGAACATGATAATGAAGAACTCATACCACGAGGTAATGTATTTGCAGCTGGTGAACGTATCAAACGGCGACCCATTTCACTAAATAGAAATATTATTAAAAATGAATCATAATATTTTATTCATAGCCATTAGTAAAATTATGAGAAAATGATATTCGCAAAAAAACTAGGTAGTATAGAAAAAATATTCGACTATTTTTTAATTAATCTAATGATTTGTTTTTAGAGATGTTTGTGTTACATGTTGGTTTTGAAAATAGTGTGATTATATGAAACCATCACCCGAAATCAAGCCAAATATGGAAAACGGAATGTTTGACTAAATTTTCTAGATAAAATCTCATATTTGATCTGTTGTTAACAGTACAAATTTTTTTCTCAAAAAAAATAATGTGCTTTTAAATTTCAATATAAGTGTAAGCAAGAAAAAGAAGAAGCTGGAGCTGTTAATATAACTTACGATGTTTAATAAAAGTATCTGATAAATCAAGATAAAAAAGAAAATAATGATGAATCTATATTTTTTTATTTTACCCTAATTTTCTTCCTTGTTTTCTTAATGTATCTGAACCTGATAATCCATGATGAGACATATTAGGACTTGTAGTGAGTAAATTTGTTGATCCACGACGAATTGAATGTTTTCTTAAATGTTCTTCAAGTCTATTTTAGAAAAATAAATATATACTTAATAAAAAACTATGGAATTATTTACAATTGAAGAGATCGCCGTATCATTGTACCTCGTTTTGTTGCATAAGAATCAATAAGACCTTGCCGAAAACCATGAGAACTAAACCATTCAATAATTGTTCTTAATGTAGCCATATCAGCTTCTAAAATTTAATTATTATAAAAAAAACTAAAAATTCTATATTTATCATACCTTGCATAGAATGTATATCATTATTATTTGTTGTAGTTACTGATTCACATAATTCCATAACTTCTTTTGGTGATAATGGATTAGCATATCTTAAAATAAGTTTATCGGTTTCATCAACAAGTCGTTTTCTTCCAATATCATATAATTCTGTAACACGTTCACGTTCCGCAACAGCTGTAACTCGTTTAAAATATTTAACTGCATCTTCAAGACGATCTAATTCAGCTAAATAATCTGTTAAATTTCCTCCTGGACCTGATGAAACTGTTGGTGTTAATTCACCACATATATCATAATAATGAAGAACAGAATCAACTAATGATAAACTTTGATCGACATTATTTAAAAGTAAACGTAATTCATTTGTTGCTTCATAAACAGGTGTAACAAGTTCATCTAATGATTGTAATTTTCTTTCAAAATTATCTAATGTAGAAACCATACCACTTGTTAATGCATTTGAACGTGAAAGAGATTCTTGTAATAATGTTAAACGACGTTTTTCCTATCAAATAACACAAAATATATTTTTCTCTATATGAAAAATTCATTCACGCTTTAATAGTTGTTGGTTACAAATAGAATCGAGTATATGTAAGTTGAATTCAAGTGACTCACTCCGAATTGCGGTTACACTATTGGTCTGCTGAGTGATTTGATCTGTGACCGCAATTACGAATCCCACTCATAGATAAAAAATTTTGATTTATACATTCCGAATCACAATCATCTTTTAGTTTTAATACTTTTCCAAGCGTATTTTAAGATTATAGAAAACCCAATCGTTTGTTTCTATGAATTTCAAACCAATAGAATAAGTTCTTTATCTCACCTCTTGTAATTTTATTTCCGACGTACGTATATTTGTCATTGAATCATTCGCACCTGTCATATTTTCTTAAATACAACAATCTGAAAAATATTCATTTGTCGAATAAACAAATTCATATATATTATATATATTTATAACAAAAATTTATCATAGAAAAACGAAGAAACATGAACAAAAATGATTTGTCATACAAAAGAAAGAAAAAAACATTTGTTTTGTTTTTGAAATTTAAAGAAGATTACATCCTTTCTTTTTTGCTTTAGGTTTTGGACATAAATGTGCACGTATTGCTTCATCAAATACTGTCTTTAAACCTTTTTGTGTTAATGCCGAACATTCAAGATATTTAACAGCACCTATTTCTTTACGCATTGATTCACCTTGAAGTGTCGAGATTGGCGATAATTTTTTTACCTAAAAGTAAATATAAAAATTAAAAAACATGAATAAGACTAAAGAATATATTTACTCGAAGTTTATCAATCATATTTTTATCATCACGTAAATCAAGTTTTGTACCAACAAGAATAATGGGGGTTTGTGGGCAATGATGATTCACTTCTGGATACCACTAAATATATATTATTAATTATAAGAAAAATATGATTATTATTATTTCATTACTTTTGCTCGAACATTTTCGAATGAAGCAGGACTTACAAGTGAAAAACAAATAATAAAAACATCCTAAAAAGAAAGTCTTCAGGTTTATATTTTTTCATCAAAAAAAACGTTTTTTACTGTTTGTGGATAAGATAATGGACGGAGTCGATCATAATCTAAATATATAATATGATGTTAATAATAAATCTATACTAATACCATAAATGTATACCTTCTTGACCGGCCTATAATTGAAAAATAAATAAATATTATTATTTTAAAAAATTTATTTTCTTCCTACTGTATCCCACAAGCCGAGATTAATTGGTTTTCCATCAACCATAACATTAGCTGAATAATTATCAAACACTGTTGGAATATATTCACCAGGAAATGTATTAGTTGTATAAGATATTAACAAACATGTTTTACCAACGGCACTGAAATAAACAAAAATAATCTTTCAAAATAATAAATATACAAATAGTTTACCCATCGCCAACTACGACGCATTTAAGTGCTTGCATTTTTAAATGAACAATTTTATTTTCAATTAAATAACCTAAGAAATACTAGCATGAACATAGTATTTAAAAAGAAAAATCATACATTCTTGAAATGATAGGTTAATAAAAAAAAGAGAAAATGAATAATATAAGAATCAAATCTCAAGCAAACAAAGAAAAGAGAAGAGAATAAAACAAATGAATCATTATATTAATCACGATAGATATAAACTTAAATCAATCATGTCGATACTGGTCCAATCCAACACGATATCATTCGATAAATAGACAGAGGGCGCACATAAAAGAATACTCAAGCAATTAAATGATAGTTAAATCGTATCGATTACTTCCAGTACCGCTGAATGATAATCTTACAATTACTTAGATATCGAACTGAAAATTTACCTACTTGGCAAATTTTAACTCAAGTATATTATATCAATATCAGTCATATAGGCTTACTGAATGCTATGGAACATTCACGAGTATTTTGTCTAGTATATCTCATAGATTTTCGAGTTAAGATGCATTGAGTTAAAGTAAAACTAGAACATAGTGTAGTCAAATAGGAGTATTACATGACATATATATAATCTTTGTCTAGTATTTATTATTTCGAATTATTTCTCTCCCAAATAAATTTTTATGACGATAAGAATACTCAGACGAATTCTTAAAATAATGACCGATGACATGAAAATTGCATTGTTATAATAAAATGCTCTATTCTAGATATCTCAAAGAACAATATCTAGAAAAATATTGTGTGTACTGAGCACTTCGAATGGTTTACTCAATTTCATTGTTACTATATAGAAAGATGAATTGAACTTATAATAAAGATAACATCCCGTAGATGTCAGTATTTTATTGACAATTGATTAACTGTATATTTCTATCCAATGATTATATTGCTGTATCAAAGTCAATACTAAAACACCTGTTTCTGTTTTTGCTGCTTGTAAAAATGCTAATCAAGCGTTAAGTTATTCATTTTTGTCTTCAACTGTCTGAATAATGCAAAAAAAAACATCTTCTGATGTTTCAAGTTCACAAAATATTACATTTATTCAACGAGTATTCTCAGCACTTTTGTATGGTACCTGTTCAGGTCTAATCACTGTCGTTAACAAACTTGTACTTACTTCATATGGGTATGTTTTGTTACTTGATGAATTAAAGATTTTCTAAATAGTTTTATTCGTTATTATACAATAGATTTCCATCATTTCAATTGCTTGCTATCGGACAGGTAGGTACTAATAATGATCAAGAATGATTTATATAATTTTTGTTCTATTTTAGTTAGTCGTATCTATTGTTGTACTTTATGTGGCTCGTCTATTAAATATTGTTTCATTTCCACCATTCTCTAAAGATATTATTAAAAAAGTAAAAATTTTATTAAATATATAACAAATATTTTCTTTCATACTTTAAATAGATTATGCCATTGCCATTATTCTTTTTTTTAAACTTATTTTTTGGTTTAGGTGGTACACAAGCCGTGAGGTATTTATTCTTTATTCCATATTATATATATATATCTATTTTAATGTATAGTTTACCAATGTTTACTGCATTACGTCGGTTTTCAATTTGGATGGCAATGATTGGTGAACAATTTATTCTTAAGTAAAATTTAAAATATCTATTTGAATGAATTATTGATTTTTTTTTGAAGACAACAGCAACCTTTTATAGCTCAAGCAAGTGTTTATTTAATGGTTATCGGTGCATTGATTGCTTCTGGAGATGATTTAACTTTCAATTGGTTTGGTTATACATTCCTTACTCTGAATAATCTTAGTACAACTGCGCAAGGTATTGTTATTAAACAAAAATTAGCTAATCAAGTAAAGGAATATTAATATGAAGAAAAAAATACATAATAAATCATTTTTTCTTTCAGAAATTTAATCAAAATGATCTCTTATTTTATAATTCATTTGTTGTTCTTGTACCTACTATTTTATTAGCTTTATGTACTGAAGATCTCAATAAAGTAAAGATATTTCTTATGTAAATTTTGCTTGTTTTTCTATATCTACTAATTTAGGTTTGGAATTATAATGGTTATCGAGATACTGGTTTTATTTGTGCTTTTCTTCTTTCATCAATAATGGGTTTTTTACTGAATTATTCCGTTATGTTATGTACAAAATATAATTCACCATTAACAACAACAGTTGTTGGTGCTTGTAAAGTCTGTTTTCATAAAATTTTACATTTTTAAGATTTATATTTGTTTATTTTTAAGAATTTATTTGTTACATATCTTGGAATGTTTATCGGTGGAGATTATATTTTTTCATTTGTTAACTTTATTGGACTTAACATTAGGTAGATATTTTAAAACTTGAACTTATGAACTTGTAAAAAATTGTAATTATCATAATTTTTCTTTGTTTAGTGCTCTGGGAAGTATTATTTATACTTGGATAACATTTACTCGAAAAACTCCATCAACCGTGATATCAAATAAACGAAAAGGTATGCATTATATTATGATGAACGATCTTTCTTTAGTATATGATGAGAAAATATTTTTGTATGATTTCATAGTTTATTAATTCGATAAAATTTATTTTGACTATTTAGAACAATAAAATTCTTCGACATTGACCGCTTCATTCAACAAGACTCTTATTTTTATTTTTATTGTTAATTTTATTTTGACTATTATCATTCCTTTTTTCTATGACGATAACATAATGGACTTTATTAACTAACTATTTTTTAAATATAATTGATAGGATAATTATTTTATCAAGATTATGAATACTTACTGTTCAATTAATATATCATGTAAAACTATTTACTAGAAAATGAAATGAATGTTGATGATATCTGGATTGTCGTATTACGAATCTATATAGAGTGTGAATTAGGGGTATAATTAGAAAAATATTTCAGGGGGGATTCAATCTGTTTTTTGGCGTCTATGAGAAGGGCTTGAAGTGGTTTTCAAGTAGAGACCATGGCCCGCGCGAAGGGTCTAAGATTGGGGAAGGGGTGTAGCGGGTTTTGAAAGAGTGTACTAATTTGGGGAACGGGGGTGTAAAAAGATATTTAGAGCAAAATATGTTCCAAATCAGGTCTTGTTGTTAAAAAAAAACACAAATTTCCAATTATTGGAGGTGGGGGTGTACACTCTCCCCCCACCCTCGCGGGTTCTGGCAGAGAGAAACCATTTATAGGGGACTCGGATCCCGCTCGGGATTTTTAGCTCTCGACTGGTTACGCGTTAAATAAAGTTCATGCATTGCATTTCTGAAGTTTTTCATGAGATATTTTCATCTTAAAAATGATCTTTAAGAAAAAATATGATATCTTCAATTTTCTATACCTTGTAATAATCAATAAGATGATATAACCAATTCTATGTCTTATACAATCATTTTTCTACTTGTATGACAAGTAATCCAGTTTTATTTCGTAATAGGCAAAGGTACCGTGTATCCGCAATTTTTTTTCTAAATAACTGGATGAATGTAAGACATAATGATATGATCAATTGTTACACTATTCTATTTAAATAATTTCTGTTGAAACTAAAAATATATCATTTGTTGTTATTTTTTTTTTGTACAATAGCAGTAAGATAAATGTTTGATATCAATTAAATTTCGTTCATATGAATAGAATTATGAAGAACGGAACTATATGTTTATTCTATGATATTTAACAATGGTAGATTAATAAAATGTACATATCCGGACTAATTATTTATCATTTGTATATAATCAATCATTGTTATTATTCTTATTAAAAAAAAAGATGAATGAAATTTATTTGAACTTTTCTTTTTTTTTTTGACAAATTGTAAACATTATTAAATAATGAATATTCGTATTTTTAAGTAAATATAAAAGTCGATTACAAATGAAGATCATCAATTATTAAATTAAATTTTAGTACGACGACTTGTCGAAAATGATTGTTCTACATATAAAAGAGAATTATACATGTATGCATATAAGTGTTAATCTATTTCTTTTTTTTCCTCTACATATTCTCCATATGCCATAGACTCGTCAAAATTTTGTCCATTATTCAATTTGCATGTCAACTTTTTCAATTTGAAATAAATAAGACTTTCATTGCACAGACATTTTTATTTCCGTTTGGGCTCATTCCGATAATAACAATAGTAATGAACATTAAAATAGATTCTTTTTTTCTTACTAAAAAGAAGGAAATAAATTATTTCTTCTTCTACTTCAATCCGTGGACAAAGAAAAGAAAAAGGCCGGTCACTATTCTCTCGGTTAATCTCCATATTATTCTCTCTCTTTCTCTCGTTTTTTTTTTCTATATTAATTGATGGTGACAGTAGTACTAACAGGCAGCAACAGCAGCAGCACTTAAAGAAATTCATACAATATGCACATTGGCTTAGCATTGAAGTGTAATGGTCAGAGAACAAAAAAAAAAGAAAAATTTTGAAGGAATGAAATTCATCTCTTTACTCGCTTTTGTTCTTCCTTTTTCTTATCTATACACCGTTTTGTCGACCAAGGTGAATGAACAATAGCAACGGTATATTCTCATTCTAATTATAGTATAAGAAGAGAATAGAAGCAGAACATTGTCTCACGTATTGCTTTCATCTACTATTAACATTGAACAAATCTACCGAAATTTTCAAAAATCAATGATGACCAACTGTTTATGTGCAAAATATGTTCTTCTATTCTTTAATTTAATTATTTGGGTAAGAAGATGTTTTGATTTTCTTATTATGTTTTGATAGGGAATCAATTTTGCTTATGAATTTTCTTTTTTTCTTTTCCGAATTGTCAAGTATATAGAAATTTATTGTTTTTACGGTTATTGAATCGCTAAGAATAGATTAGTAATGCATGATTGTATTGATTTTTAATAAAAATCTATTCAATGAATCGTTAAAAATAAAATGACGATATTTTTTATTATTTTTAGTTAACGGGCGGTGCTTTTATAAGTTGTGGAATTCTTGTTTTATATAAACGTGATTTAAATGAATTATTTACACTTTTATCATATGATTCTCGTCTTATACCAACATTTTATAACATTGGTTATGTTCTAATTGCTGTTGGTATACTTATTTTTATCGTTGGTTTACTTGGTTGTTGTGGTACAGTTCGAGAATCTCGACTTTTACTTGGTTTAGTAAGTTTATTTTAAAGATCTATGATGATTTAATCTTTTTTTTTTCTGTAATCTATTAGTATGTCTTTTTTATAATAATTGTTATGGGTGGTGAGCTTATTGTAGCTATGTATACGGTACTATTAAGTGATGAATGGGATACTCGATTACCAAGAACATTAGCACGACGAATTTTAACATATAATTATACATTACCACAAGGATTTGAAACTGATTTAGATATGGTTCAGAAGCAGGTAATCAATGAGATTAATAAAAAACGATGTCTCATAAACTTTACTTCTATTTCTAGTTTTCGTGTTGTGGTATTGATGGTCCACAAGATTTTCATAATAATCCGGATTATAGGATTTCTGATCGTCATCTTCCACCATCATGTTGTAGAAGTTTACTAAATGGAATTTGTCTTGAAATTGATTCATATCAAGTTGGTTGTTATCAAACAATTAACGAATATTTACATTTCTATTCAAGATTAATTGTAGCAATTGGAATTGGTATTGCTCTATTTGAAGTATATAGTTAATTTAGATTTTTTATTTTCTATATTAAACTTTTCTTTTGTCTATTTTAGTTAACTGCATTGATATTAGCTGTTTGTGTTTGCCGCGATACATTATACGAAGATAGTTTTCATTAATTTATATCATTGTATAATTTGTCAAGAAATAAATAAAAATAAATGCGGAAACTTTGGATTTTATCCGAGAGTTATGTGTTCTGCAAAAAGTGTATATGGAAATATCAGTATTTTTGCAATAACTCCAGAATGGCTCAACTTCGAACTCGACCGAGATCTTGATGAGACGGAATTGTGTAGAAAATTTCATGAAAATCTGTCTCTCCTTTCGAAATTTATCGAGTAAACGGACGGACACACTAACCGATGCTAGAGTGTACTCACTTTTTGAGTACACGATAAGAGAAAATATATTTATGGTTTAGTTAAATGAAGAATTCAACCAGTATGACTACTTGTTTGATGTTACATTTTTGAGAGTCTTTAATAAGATTTTGAAATACTAAATTATATAGATTGAACATCGGAAGTCATTTTGATTAATGAATATTGATATGGACAATAAAGATGTAGAGAGTTAATACAATCGAATTTTTTTAAGATTCGATAAATATTTTGTTTCCGTATTTTATTAAATAATAAATAACAGAAGGAAAGAACAATATGATGCCCGAGAATAGATAGACAAAAATAATAAATGTTCGCTTTGAACACAATGTTTAGCCTTAGTTTGAATGCGTTCCTATTAGAGCTAACAATTAAGTATTATTTGATTAACGTAATATCATTATCAAGATTGCTTGAGGGTTATATGAAGTTTATTAGTCATCTATACTAATCAGCAAGAAAAAGAAAAGTTGTATAGTAATAAATATAACTCTTTTTGAAAATATTTCATTACCTTTTCTTTTCTATATTATACATACAATCGTGCATGATTTGAATTTATAGTTTTATAATATATATCCGTAAAATTAACATTCATAAGAAGGATTACTTAGTTTCTTTTCTTTTGGTAAATATAAATGGTATAAAATAAATGCATATCTTTTATCTGTACTAGAAATAATGATCAGATTATAATATATATATATATCCATGTGATGTATACAAGCGAAGCGAGTGAGAAAAAAAATTTACATGAATAAAAAATCAGTGTGAGATCATATAATGTGATGACAACGACAGAAGAAGAGATGATGTATGCATAATCAATTAGAAAGAAAAAAAGAACCAAGACGAGACGAGACGAAAAGCTACATATTTATATGACTCGTCACTAACAACGATCGTATTTATGGTAAGTGTTTGATTTTATATTCGATCAGGTAATTTTCTATTATAAAAGTTAAAACTTTCTTTTTTTCATAAAATATTCGTCCATTATGATTGTATTTCAATTAAGAAAAGAATCGAAACTGATGATTTTTATGAATACGTTTTGTTATGATTTCGGACAATTGCTATAGGTATAGACGAATAATCATGTCTTTGTACAATAGTACTAGGTAATGAAATAAGAAGAGAATATATATATATTCAAATTCGAGTTTGATCTCATTAAGCAATGTCTCAAAAAATTCTTTTTTTCTCTTTCTCGCGCCGTGAACGTAACATTCTTGCATCTCTTCATCGTTGAGAGGCGAACAGGAGCTTGTGTCCGCGCGCTCCGTTATGTATGCAAATAGTATGTATATTCATTTTATTGCATTCAGTTTATGATAATTCCTCTCTCTACATCTCTTTCTCTCTTCTCTTCTTTTCGTCATCACTTTGTCGAGAAAACTCGACAAATGCAAGACGAAACATGTCAAAGAAGAACAATGATATTCTACAATTTTATTATTTGGTAAGCATATTGGCAAAAAAAGCATTAACCTATCTTGGAATGTATTCAATTCTAAAACATCTATATGTATTGTTTATATAGTAACAAAACGAACTTCTTTCTTTTATTGTTAGTTCGAAATATGCATGAAGATTTAGATAAACGACAGGAATTTGTAATATGAAAATAGTTTTCCTTGATGTATCATTCATATTTTGTAGTAGTCGAATATAAAGTGAAATTTATCGAGCGACAGATATTTTAAAATATGACTAAAACGAATGAATACTTTATTTTCAATTTTATTCTTGATTCATAGAACTTACTAAGAGATAGAACTCATCTTTCGATTTATTAAACTTTAATTGTTTAATATAAATATTCGTACACTTGATTTTATTTTTGAGTATCCAAAAAAAAAACTATACGATAAGTGCGGAAATGAATCATGTATTTTATCCGATATTGATATTTGGTAAATAGCGTAGTTCACTCAGTATTTTTTACTTAAAGAAATCGAAAATAATTTATTTACAATTACGACAAATCTTATAATTATAAAATTAAAAATATTCATTTTTTATATTTAAACCTAATTTTTTTTCTTCTTATTTTAAAATCCATTTTAGAAGAACGTCTGCAACATGTTTGATCTGTTCCATCGTATTCAAACATATGAATTGAACGTCAATTGGCGTCCTCTACTGATAGTAATCATGCTGATGACAGTTCGAAGTGAGTAATTTGACACGAGTCATAAACGGCTAACTAGTAAATGGGTCGCGTTCCATTAGTATTGACAACTACTTGCCACTCATTTTAGTAGTTAGTGTTGTTCACTGACATATACATATACGAGCATGCACATACACAAATGGCGGAACAAGTTGTGCGTGCATAAAGCAACAAAAAAAAAACTCATCACTTGAAATTGATCTATGTTTTTTTAATAGTTAACACATCATATAATAGCAGATGGAACATATATAGAAATAAGAAAGAAAGGAGAACTGAATACAATATCGTCTACTGTTTGTCATCATTTATAGTAATACGATTAGACAAAAGCAAGAGTAAAATAATTTAATTAAAAGATAAATTTTATTTTTGCATATTTCTTTTCTAATTCGTCAAGTAAATATATCTTTTCCAAAGTCAAAATTTTTTTTCAACTGACAAATACGAATGAAAAAAAAGAAAACTTCTATTCGAGTTAATAAAATCATATATTTGTATGTATGTCACGTCTTTATCTGTTAACTCCACCCTTTTTCATCCGGTCTCTTGATTGGACTCATCTGTTCTACTTCTCTATAAAATGATTGATAGTCTTGTCTTGCTATTTCTTTTTTTTTTATTCTCTTTTGTTCATCTGTGCATACTTATGAATAGATCAATTCAATTCATATATATATATATATATATGCATGCTTGACTTTACTCTTCGTCTTACTGTCATCTTTTTTTTCAACTCAAGACGAAACGAAATCGGATCGGTACTCATTGACATGCATAGTCTAGTTTTCTTTTTTTTTGCTCTAGAGGGGCAAATAAAGAAAAAAGGAACCAATGAAAATAATTAAACATTTATTGTTGACATAAGTATAGTTTTTTTTCTTCTTATATATGTTGATGTATTCATTCAGTGTATATTTCTAATTCGATTAAAATTCGCTTCACTAACTTTTTTCTAGAAATGTCAACAAAATGTGTGAGCTATAAAAAGAATGATCGATTTTATTCGCTTTGAAGACAAAATAGAACTTGATCAAACGATATTGATATACTAAAGAGTGTATAGAATAACATTAACAATAATGTGTAGAAAGATTTTTCCGTTTTCTTTCTTTCTTTTTTTTTTCTTCCCCTATTTTTTTTTTGTCTTCGAAGAAGCATCAAATACAAAGAATGAACATTTGCATATATGCAAAAAGAACTGACTAGAGATAACATTATGATCACGCGCATTGACGACAAAAAAGAAATATTAAGAAATACAAAATTCAAGTTTTATTTGCTCATTATTGAATTGAAAATTTTAGACTCTTGTCACTTGTAGCACGCGCACACGTTTGTATATTGTTATTGTCTGATTTTTTTTGTCTGTTTGTTTTAAGATGGACAAGTGCCAAATGTTGATTATATGAGAGTGCGTAGGCATGATGCTTTTCTTTTTTCAAGGTGTCTAGGGAGAAAAAATCAAACAAGAACAGAATAGACCGAAACTAGTGAATGTATATCTATATATATATAAATGTACGCGTAGGTTGCACAGAGAGAAGAAGAAAAAAACGAAAAGTCCAAATCCATCATTATAAACGAGATATAGGTGTGGAAAGGTCGTGTGTATATTTGTCAAGGTGCGAGAGGATTAGTTTTAGCTCCTTTTCTTTCGATAAGAGAAGCCTTGTAATTATACTCGATCGACCATCGACTCTTCTTTTTTTTTTTTATATATATATTATTGTTACTAACTATATCGAATATGAAGAATAATGACAAAGAACAACTCGATTAGCCTAATTTCCCGTGTCTCTGATCTTGACTAGCTAGGCAGAAAAAAAAATACTAGCTAATTTTATTTTCGAGTTGTATTTCTAGACTTGTCTAATTAGAATTGGTCGATCTCCAACTGATAGGACCATCTGCTATATGTTTGTTTGTCTCTTTGACTATCAATTCTTCGTTTTTTCTTCTTCTTCTTCTTGTTCTTGCTATATGATGGTGGTGACACAGGAAATGTCTTGTGTACACACATACGATTAGATCCATCAATCACGCAATGGCAACGACAAAAAAAAACCGAAGAAAAAAAAGAAATCCGATCATTCTTTTTTTTTTTTCTTCTTCTCCCTAAAGGTCATTCTATCCAATCAAAAAAATGCAAGTTCCTATTCCTTCAATCAACCAACCCATTTTCTTCTTTTTTTCTTTCTCTTTCTCTTCTCCTTTCGTTCGATGCACTTGTTGCATGCATACATACACAAATAAAGAGAAGCTATCTTGTCATCGACTACGCATAGAGAAAGAGAGCAACTCCTTGACAGAAGAAGCATCGGACGGCGGCAAATCTGAATTTCATTTGCATTCAAAACTAGTACTAGTACCAGCAGCTATCTTATCCCACGTATTGATATTCAAATAAATACTGCGATTGTCAGTTGTGCTCGATTTCCTATTCAAGCACTACTAACGTATATTCTCACCCAACTAATTTCAGTATATTCAATGGTGAGTATTATATATATATATATATCCATATAGAAATAAAAAAAATCTTCGATAAAACTAATTAAGAACAATAATTAAATATAAAAATTTTATTTTAGTTAAGATTTTGTTAATGATTTTTTTAAATCATGTCAACATCACCATCATCCGTTGCTGCAGCAACTGCTTATGCTCTTCATCATCATCATATTCATACTCATCATCATATCCATCCATTTCATCATCAACATCAACTTGATTCAGCATCATCACCAACACCAAATACATTTTTTTATCCGACATCATCGGAATCATCAAATGATTTAATTTTACAACAAACTGATATTAAACCAAATAATAATAATAATACATATTCATTTCCAACAGGTAACAGTACAACAAGTCCAACACATTTAACTGAAAGAAAAAGTGTTTCACCATCACCAACAAGTCCAATAAATGGTACAGCTTGGCCAGTTATTATGCAGCATCATCCACATAAACAACATTCATTATCCATTGAAGATTATTGGGCATCAAATCCTTCAAATTATTATCAATCAACAAATTATCATCATCAACCTTATTTAACTAATCATCAATTTATTCCAACATATGGTTCATCATCAACTGATCCTGAACATCATTTTCAAATACCACTACCACCACCACCAACATCATCATCACTTGATGATAATGATTTAAATTTACTTCAAATAAATCATAATAATAATAATGATGATGATGAACATCAAATACATATTGATAATAATGATTTAAATCGTTTTTCTAAACAATTTAAACAACGACGTATTAAACTTGGTTATACACAAGCTGATGTTGGTCTTGCACTTGGAAATCTTTATGGCAATGTTTTTAGTCAAACAACAATATGTCGTTTTGAAGCATTACAATTAAGTTTTAAAAATATGTGTAAATTACGTCCATTATTAGCTAAATGGTTAGAAGATTCTGAATCTCAAACCGGTACATCAAATTCAATGGAAAAAATTGCAGCTAGTGGTCGTAAACGTAAAAAACGTACATCTATTGAAGTTAGTATAAAACAAGCTTTGGAAATACATTTTGCTCGTAATCCAAAGCCAGCTGCACAAGATATTGCACATTTAGCTGATCAATTACAACTTGAAAAAGAAGTTGTACGAGTATGGTTTTGTAATCGAAGACAAAAAGAGAAACGTGTTACGCCACCATTAGGAAATGGTACAGCATCAGCATCAACTAATCATCATCCAACGAAAAGTCCAAGTCCATCATCAACACCAACAGGAGACTATTATGAATATCATTATCCAACACATTTGTAACATTTTTTTTTTCGAGTTTTTCTTTTCACTTGTTACACACTTTACACAGTGTTTCGCTTTTTTTTTTCTCTATATATTTTGTGTGATACTGTCATAAAAAATAACACAAAATTATCAATTTATAATATTTAACTGAATCATCTTGATAGACAAGTGACAAGAAAAAGAAAGTCAACAGATCATTAAATGAAAGAAAAGAATCAACTATAGCGGCTTACTTTTTTCTTTCCTTCTCTGATCTAATGACGGTAGAAAGAAAAAAGAGAGGATTTAGAATTGAGTAGAACTACTAATCAAATGGGAGACCAGATGGTCGTATCAGCTGCATTGACTTTCTTTTTTTCGAGCATTGTTTTATGATGAGTCTATAATGAAAATGTTACTTCTTGATGTACAATGTCCCTATAGTGTGAGTATATATTGAGACAAGCGTATCCACATTATATTTACATTTCAATCACTGTGTCGTTGTTTGTCTCTTTCTATCGACATATGGTGGTGATCTCTCACGCGTATAAGTTAAACAAAATTTGGCATATATATATGATTTTTCTCTGTTATTCACGATCAGGTGAGACAGACACAGAGAAAGAAAGAAATCGAGTATCATCTTTTTCTGGGTGTCAATATATATATATATTCAATTGAAATATGCCCGACGATATACTCTCGTTTACGCTTCTTTGAATTGATGTCTGTTCCGGTTCCGCTGTCTTATTTTTATAGAAGTTCTATGTATTATTTTATTTTGAAAAAGAAAATATATTAAACAATTGCCGACAACATTCTCATTATGAAGGAAATAGATAACATGAGAATGTGTGAGAAAGATCAATAGTTGGTCGTGTTAAAGTATATACGATGGATAATAAATCGAAGTAGTTCCGATCGGATTACTCTTGATCATTAAATTTTAGTTTTTTTTCATAACTATTTGAGAAAGATATTAAACAAGAGACAAGTATTTTTTTAAATTGACTCCTACTCATAATAAGTTATCCGTTTTCTTTCTATTTTCTAGATAATAAATGTTCTTCGTAAAAAAAAGTCAATATCAATCTGAAGTAGTTGACTAATCTAAGAGTTCGTATAGAATGATATTTATTATTACATATTAGTGTTAGCTTAAATTCTCATGTGATTATGATAATAATTTTTATTTATTTAATTGATCATAAAGAATTTTAGAAAATAGAAGACAAAACTTATAATATATCAGCAAGAATCTAATATCTTAACTGGCTTATATAAAAACATCTTACTATATCTATTATCACAAAATAAAAAAGACTAATATCTCTATCAAGTATGATATACTGTTTAATTTCCTACATTCATTTCAGAGAACCATTGATTATAATTTTGTAACTGACATATAAAGCTTTAAATTTTATTTATTATTAAATGTAAATATTTCATTCTGTGCTTCGTTATTATCATTGATCATGATATGAATCTACTAGATAAGTAAAGTCGGTAATTAATATTAGCTTTTAGTTTGTGAAATCTACTAATATTGTATTATAAAAAAAACCCTACATTAATGGAAATACTATTTGAAAGTTAAGAATTTACATTTTAACCACACGAGTACATTTGATTTCGAAAGAATAGAGATAGCTATCAATGGTAAATAAGGTATACTATTCGATACACTATCATTGATAAAAAAAACATATTTCGATCAAGCGAAGAATTAAAGAATAATGTTTCAAAAATCCTAAGAATGCAATCAAGTATCATCTATTCACCGTTCTTTTTATTAAAACGACGGTTATGTCTACTAATCAATATTAATAAGTAAAAAAAGAAGGATCGATTCTAAACTGAATGATATTACTAAAAAAATATTTTTATTTTTAGTATATTTTATTAAGTTTTAGATATATTCATATGTAGTTATGCTATTTATTTTATTTCGATCTATGTAGGTTGAAAAGAAAAATGAATTTTCGTAGGTTGTACAATTATATTTTATTATCATATGAATTCAATACGATGTGCACATACTAGTCATTCTTTCGGTATACATTCCATTGAGTAAACTATGTAAATTGCGTCAATACACCTTCATATTATTTTATTTGAATGATACCTTTTTTTCTTTTCTTTTATATCTTTTATGCGTCATCTTCACGTCAACTTCTATAAAGATATATTAATGATAATAACGATAGTGTAGTTATAATAAAAACTAATGGAGTTATATTTGTGACAAACGAATCCACATTAATGTGCGACAAGTCAACGTATAGACATGAGAAATATAAGAAAAAAAACGAAGAAAGAAAAAATAGGCAAAGGTATGCATGGCATGTGGTTTCTTGCGTAGCAGAAACGAAACATGAAAAAACAAGAGAACGATTGGTTCTGTTCCTCTTCATATTTATTCCTCGTCGATAATGTCACGCACGCGCTCTGTGATTACCGAAAAACGTCAATGAAAAAAAAAAGACATATACACACGCACAAGAAGAAAGAACATACGAGAAATTACAACTAAAATAAATCTTCCATACATAGTTTAGAGAGAGAAAAAGAAAATGAAAGATTAACTCTTATTCAGGTAATATCAATGTTTAACTAAAGACTCACGTCAATATACTACAATGACTATAGAGAAGATAAATATAATAGATAGAATAATAAAAGAATCTTGTCATTCTTATAGATACATATCATTTCAAAAAAAAAATTATTTGAAACTTTTCATGCCGGTATTCAGTAGTGGAAAGAAAAAATCAGATGAATATTATTGTAAAATCTTTACTATGGATGCTGAATTACAGTTTACTATTGAAGTAAGTTATATGATTTATAAAGAGATATTTTTCTAGTATTGAGTTCTAATATTATTTTTTAGGCAACAGCTAAAGGTAATACAATATTTTCTCTTATTTGTCAAACAATTGGCCTTCGAGAACATTGGTATTTCGGCGTTAAATATATAGATAAATTTTCTAATGAATGGAATTGGCTTCAGTTAAATCGTACTGTATGCTTTATATTGAAATTCTACAAAAAAAACTAGAATGATTCATAAAAATTAGTAATCTTTAGATTATTTCACAACCAATACAAATCTCACCTAAAACATCTGATTCAACACATATAATAGATAATAATAATAAACCTCATCTTCTTCGTTCATTACCAATATCTTCATCAATATCAACATTAAGTCTATCATCTTCTATAATCAATACTACTCAACAATCTATTAAGGGCACAATCGAACTTTATTTTGTTGTTAAATTCTATCCGGAAGATATTACTCATGAACTTATACAAGATATAACTCGACATCTTTTCTATCTACAAGTTAAACAAGATATTCTTAATATGGATATTTATTGTCCACCAGATACTGCTGCTCATCTTGCATCACTTTCGCTTCAAGCAAAGGTAAAATTTATTTAAATATATAACTCTCTATATGTTTTCTTCTAGTTTGGTGATTATGATCAAGTTGTATCTTCATCGGAATCATTAAATTTAGAAAATGAAGGTTTGTTACCATTATCATGTTTTCAAAAAATTGAATTATCTCGTTCGGATTGGTTTGATCGTATTATTGCCTTATGGCGTACACATACATCATTAACACGAGAAGAAAGTGAAATGTCATATTTAAAACATGCACAAGATTTAGATATGTTTGGTTTAGCATTTTTTGAAATATCAAAAATGCAAGGTACTAATAAATCATCTCCACAACAACAAATTAAATTATATAATCAACAACAACAACAGTCAGATCAATTATCTATTGCTGCTGAACTTTGGTTAGGAATTGATTCATTAGGAATTCGTTTTTATAAGAAAAATAAATTAAGACCCGAAGTTTTCTTTTCCTGGTGTGATATCAAATCAGTTACTGTTCATGATAAAAAAGTAATTAAATAATAATAATATTCGACAATTTTCTTATAAACTATTCTTTTAGGTTGTATTATATCTTGCTAGTGATAAACATGCAACATTTGCATTCTATACTGCAAAATCTTCTATTAGCAAAGAAGTATGTAATTTAAAAAGATTATTTTATTCTTTTTTTTGCAATGAATTATTTAGATACTTGACTTAGCAATGGGTAATCATGAATTGTATATAAGACGTCGACAAGAACAATCCATTGAAATTCAACAGATGAGATATTTCGAAGAACAACAGCAAAAAGTAAGTATGAAATGAAAATTTTAACATAACTAGAACAATTTAGAATTAAGGAAGAAAAAATATTATATCTTATCTTTCTTATCTATATATAAAAGTGCATTGTATGTACTTTTACCTGGATGAATAATTTTATTTAAAAATATGTAAATCATTATTCTAGGAAAAAATGAGAATAGTGACGAGAGAACGTAGTTTAAGATTACAAGCAGAAAAACGTCGTGATGAAATCGAACATAATTTTATTAATTATCAACAACAAATGAAAGAAATTCATCAAACATTAGTATGTTTTTGAATTCTTTATTTTTTTCTTCTTTCAAATACAATAATTAATATTATTTCAGTTAAAATATCAAGAAGTAGCTGATTTATTAGCACATAAAGCTCAAATAAGTAGTGAAGAAGCTCGATTACAAGCAGCAAAAGCACTTGAAATTGAAACACAACTTGAACGATGTAAATATGAAATGAATCGAGTAAGTTGAATTATTTTAAATTAAATTTCTAAATCGAAAAAATTTGATTTGTTGTCTTTCGAAAGAATGAAGAAGAAAAACAATTGTATGCTCGACAAATTAATGGATGTAAACAAATCATATCAACATTAGTTAATGATTCAGTTCAAAAGTAAGATTTAATTTTCATAGAATTATTTTAATTCTATATTTAAAACAGTAATCATTTTTATTCATCTCATTGTAATGAATTTAATCTTCTTTCATCAACTATTGAACAGCGGTTAGTTATAAAAGGATATATATATAGAAACTAACGAAACTAAATTTGAAAATTATTTTATTTTATTAGAAGTTTTTGAATTGAGTTTTTTTTATGTTTTTTGTAGTCGCCAAGAAGCTGATGAATTAAAATTAGAACTTGCGAAATGGCGTGTAGCTGAAGCAGCTGCAAGAGAGAAACTTTTAGCTATTACACAAGTGAATCAATCACTTGCTGTTTCAAATTCAATAACAGCTGTTCAATCATCATCATCAAGACCAATAAATTTATCTCCACCACCTGTAAAAATGATTTAATTCTATGATTTCTTTTTACATTCTTTTTTTTTATTTCTAGTATCAGCCAATAACGAGAATCGAAGATTCAAATCAAATAAATGAAAGGTAAGAAATTAATTTTATATATAATTAAATTTTAATATTTTTTTGCTAGAATTCAATTAATTGAAAAACAATCTAAACAAACACAATTAGAATTACAATTACAAGATTTAAAAAATATTATACAGTCGAAAAAAATTGAACAACGACAAACATCATTAGATAAAGCATATGAAGAAAGTCTAGCAGGAGGTGATAATAAATATTCAACTATACAAAAAGCACGTTTAGGTACAACTTTAAGACGTATGGCTATGTTACAAGATTTATAATTCTATATTTATTAACATCTATATTTGTTTCGAAAAAAAAAACTTGGATAAAGATGCGATTGAGAATGCATATTAAAAAAAACGAAATTTTTTTTATTTATATGTGTAAATTTAAATGTTATCTCAAGTATGTAAAAACGTTCCATCAATTGTTAAAATTTGTTTTCTTACGATAAATAAATATATAATAGAAAAAAGTGTTAAATAAAATAGCTCAAATTGTGTGATACACAATTAAAGATCGTGTCATTGAATTTAAATAATGTAGGCGCTAGGACAGAACATCTTATGGACAAAACGTCGCAGCTTATTTTAGGGTTCAAAACGAATTGCTAGTAAACCTTTGATACTGGATGGTGTATGTATGTGGGATGTGGATATTCAATGCACCCTCATTGAGCCATACGCCTGCGACGTTCTGTGCAGTCACTCTATATCGACGATGTGAATAAAGATAGAATACGAATGTCAATAGCATCATGAAAGGAAATAAGAAATTTTCAGCAAAAGAATGTGTGATTTCATGGTAAAAGTCCCTATTATTGACTTCTTAAAATAATTGATCGGTAGCGAAATTTTACTTCAAATTGATGTGTTTTCTCTGACTTTGGATGATAGAAATGGTTCCATTTCTACTCGAAAAAGTTTTTTGATCATATTTACTCATTATCCTTCGTTAAAATCATTGAATTTAGTCTGTTTGTCAATATCTGATCGTTTTAAAATCTATATTGGATTCATAATGTTTGATTGTTCTATCTATTTGTCGCTCTCTGTCTATTGGATTTTACTATTATTGGTTACGAATTTTAACCACTATAGTTTTCTTCCTATGACATATGTATATATTTCGAAATGTAAACTTTTCCTTCATTAAATCGAAGAATTATTTGAAGAATGAGTAATGTTCAAAATGAAAATAGTGCTGAAGTAGTGTTATTAACTGGAACTGGCGATATTTATTCAGGTGTAACTGTTGATAGAAAACTTTTAGCTAAAACTCCAGCTTTATTTGAACGTCAACTAGAAAAATCGATAGAAGCATGGCGTCAACAAAAACGACGAGGTATTTGGCTTTCAATACCACATGATCAAACGGAACTTATTCCAACAGCACAAAAACTTGGTTTTGTTCTTCATCATGCTAAAGCTGATTATGTTATGTTAACACATTGGCTCGATGAATCAGATCCTAATCAATTACCAAGTTATGCTATGTCTACTATTGGTGTTGGTGGTCTCATAGTAAATAAAAAACGAGAAGTATTACTTATACAAGAACGATTTGCTTATGTTAAAGACTATTTCAAATTACCAGGTGGATGTCTTAATATGGGTAATAAATACATTCTGTTTTCTCTCAAAATATATTTTTTTCTCTGAATTATGTAGGTGAAGCAATAGAGGATGGCGTTGAACGTGAAGTATTTGAAGAAACAGGTATTCGTGCTCATTTTCGTGGTATACTTTCGTTTACCTATAAAACAGAATTTCGTTTTGGACATGGTGATGCTTATTTTATTTGTCTAATGTATTTAAATGAAGATGAAGAAGAACAAAAAATTAATTTTGATCCACTTGAAATAGCCGTATGTCAATGGACCCCACTTGATGAATGGGCAAAGTCACTAGAAAATCATCCTGTACCTATTACATTACATGCAGCACGTACAGCTATCAATGTACTTGAAGGTCGAGAAACATTATTAGAATCAGATCTAATAGAAGTTAAATCGAGAGATAAAAATAAACCATCATGGTTTACAACAATGTATCGAAATAAATCTAATGATAAGAAATAAATATTTTTCTACTAACATTTTAACAAAGAAGTTGTTTTAATTTTATTTATGATAAAAATATACTTCCGTAAAACTTTCAATACTAATCATTTCTGTTCATATACAATATTAAGAAATTGTTTTATTATCTGATAAATAGCTAATGTCTTTTGTTGACAAAGATGTTCTTTAATAATAAGATGTTGACAAAAATCTTTTTCATTCATTTCAATAAATATTCGAATAAATTCTAATGCTTTCAAACGACGTTTATTTTCAGATTGTGTCATAAAATTAATACAAAATGTATCATGACAACAATTTTGATTGATATCTGTCATTGTTGAAACATCTTCATGAGTTCTATTCATTATTATCAATTGAATAGATTCTATAAGTTCTTGAAAATTAATAAATCGAATATTTTTCAATGTTGATCTATGTTTTATCAATAAATTTTGAATATACTCGAGCATCTTATCATTTTCTACTTGAATACATAAAATTCGATGTTGATTGTTATCAAACCATTTATTAACACTTATGTCACCATGTGTTAAATTGTCAAAAATACGGTTATTATTATTATTGTTGTTAAGTACTGCTATCTAAACAGAAATATAGTATTCTTAGTTTTTCGAATATGAATAAAATGATGCAAAGTTATACATCGCAATTGATATCGAGGGTGTGGGTGTAGTAGTGATGGATCTAGGATTTTGGAAGGGAGGGGGCGATTTCGGCTAAAAACTATTTTTTAAGTCCAAATGACGTAGTGTGAACCTATTTTTTCGTTCATTTTTGCTGTAAATAATCAAAAAAAATTCTGAAAGAAGGGGCGATCGCCCAACCCTAAATCTGCCACTGGGGTGTAGGCGTAGGTAGAGAAAAGATGAATTCACATCCACACCCTCAATCTTCTATTCATTAGTTGACTATTGATATCTTACCTCAGAAGATCTACAAATATCATCATTAATCCTAGTATTCATATCTGTATGCATAACTATTTGTGAAGATTTTTGTTTCGTAGATTTCTTAAAAATTTTATTACATCGTTTAGATGAGATACGACGAGTTCGTTTTGATTGTGGAACTATACCAAGTATAATAGCAATACTATTGTAAAACCAACGTAAGATAGATAATGAGAATAATTGTGATTTACGACGATTCATTAAAAATATAGAGATAAAAATAAAGAAATTCTATGATACGCGCTAAGCGAATAAATTTATTGTTTTTTTAAGAATATGCAATGTAGAAATTCACACACGAAAAAAAATAGATATGTAATTTAAAAACATTTTTAATCTAAGTTGACTTTTGTACAATAAAAATGTTTTTTATTGTTGCAATTTATTTTGTAAACAAGCTAAAAAATAAAAAACATAGATTAAGATAAGAATAAATATCTTTTCTATAAAATAACGAACTTTTTTTGCATTGATTTACACAAGTAGATTCAGAAATTTGTAATATTCGATCAACAGAATATAATGTATAGCATAAATAAATATGAAGAAGTAGAATAAATATACCAATAAAAAGAGCAATGTCAAATATAATTCCTTTTCCAGTTATAGTCTTTTCTTTTACGGGTACTTGTACATTGGATGAAGGAACAGATTCTATTGTAGACTCTGTTTGTTTATTATCTGGACGTATGACTTCTTCTTCTTCTTCTGGTTTTTGTTTATGTATGCGCTTTTTATGTACTATTGCTTGTTTTTGATCAGGTTTACGATTATTTATTACTGATTGTTGACTTTCAAGTTTTCGAGCTATAATAAAAGAAATTTTAGTATTATATATTTTCCAAAAAAAAAAGAATTCTACTTACCTAGATCATTATGACCCTCATCAACTGATGAATTACAATTTTTTTCGATAAATGCTGAAGCACAAAATCAAATATATTTTATACAAAGAAACAAATATATTATTTTCTCTTACATTTAATAAATCCATTGACACTTTTAATATATTTTATTTCTGCACTAATACGTAATGAAGAATGTTTTGCATCACGTTGATACATACAATATCGTGATGCAACATAAAATGAATCTGTATATTTTACACCTTCATTATATACATCTGTATTAATAACATACAATGAATGTGGTATCTCGACTTCTATGGTCTATAATTATATTTTATATTTAATTGAAAATTCTAGAAAAATAAACATACCTGTTTTTCAGTACAAGTAATAGTATTTGTACCAAGAATTGATTGACTTAGAATTTTATATGTAACTTGACGTTCTCGTTTACCTGTTTCATTATTTATATGCCATTCACCGAGATTAAAATCTTCAAAAAAAACCGATTAGATTTGTAGATATATTTTAATTATTATTTATACCTATTAATTTTTGTGACTCATGATATGCACGTGATACTTCATTGTCTTCAAATATAAATTCATAGAGTTTATCAACATCATAAGAATATGATCGATCAATAATAGTTCGTGCTAAATGTGTTTCACATGGACAAGCTGATACGTAGGTTACTTGTTCCGTGTCCTCTGATGGTACGGATGATTTTGTTCTATGTTTTGAAAGAACGGGTGATTGAGATTGTGATTGTGGATACCGCTGAAAATATAGATAAAATAGTTGATTATTTTTTGATCAATTAAAAGATTGATCTAATAGTAGATATTGTCATCGAACGGATATATAAATAGAAAGAGTACATTCGGACTGCTTCGAATAGAAAGAAAATATTTATGAAGAACGAAAAAATTACAGCTTTTTTTTGTTTCTTCTATTTGACAGACAGACACTTTTTTAGTAATATAAAATCCTCAATCAATATACGTCAGCAACCTCTACCTTCAGAATAAAAAAATTGAATCTATCATGAATTGCTGCGTCATCTGATATTATTTTAATTATTGAAATACTAGATTGCATGAAACGTAAGAAAAATCTAGGTATATAATTATAACGATGAAAACAAAATTTTAACTAGAAGAACTGTATTATCTAAGAAAACTTACATCTGAAGATTGTTTACGGTTATTTTTCAATCTAATCGATTGTTCACTATCATCACTTGATTCATCATTACTTAATGAATCCGTCAAAACTATCGTTCGTAATTGTTGATAATCCAATGGCTACAAAAATAAAAGAAATATTTCGTTTAAAAGAAATCATTATATCGAGTATTACTTTGTCCGCTAATGCATTTTGCCATAAACGACACATAGGTACAAGTATTCGTTCTCTTGATATAAAAGTAGCAAATACATGTTGTTCCCCATTCTTTGTTTCCAGTTTAATTGCATTTGAAAGTACTTTAACTGATTTTTCTCTTTTAATACTGATAATATCTTTCCAAGCAATACGCACCTAGATAAATACAATTTACATTCTTTTTTCTTTCCTTCAAAATAAAATACAATATTAACATACACTTTCTTCCCATTTGAAAAAACACGTGTAAAAACACAAGTAATTGACGGAAAGAAATATTCGTCCATGCATATACATATCTTTTCGCCAGAGGCATGAATACGCTAAAATTTTGTAATATACATATACATTATATAAGATATTTTACAATTCATACCAATAATTAATTGTTCATCTGCTGGTAATTCAAAGATATTATTAAAATCATCATCACGAATTTGAAAACCCTAAAAATAAAATAAATAATAATTTATATATAGAATGTTTTTTAAACAATGAAATGTTTTTTGCAAATGATGACTTGAACTATCAGAGATAAGTCTATAATGGTCATGTCTTTTAATAACATACAGTTAAATATGGAAGTGTTTCCATATTGTCATGATCATCTTTCTTATTTTTCTTGTTTTGTTGTTTTTTTGATGAATACTCTACCGTGTATCGAGATTTTTGTGATCGTCTTTTTGAATCAGATTGATTAGCTGGTTCGGAAGTAGTTTTTGATGCTTTATTTAATTTCGTTTTCGTTTTTGTATTTTTCTTATTATTTTCAGTATCAGATAATTGTTGATTATCTTCTTTTGGAACACTTAAACTAGTATGATCATTTTGATTTATTGGTTCCGAAATCGTTATATTGTTTTCAGTTTTATCCATTGATATAACTAAACGAAATATTCAATTTTTTTTCAAAGAATATTAATATAAATATTGAAAAACATACAATTTTCTTCGTCGTGATTTTCGTTGTCACTAAAACTTTTCGAATGTTGATCAGTTACTACTAATGTTGAAATAGTCGGTTGAGAATAAGCTTTTGTTAATGATATACTTGGTGGATTTAATTGGTTATATCCATCTTCATGTGTTTGCTTAGTATTATTGTTTTCATTTCTGTCATAATGAACCGTAATAACAGGCGTATCTAATAAACTTTTCGTTGGATTATGTTTTCGTTTTACTTTTGTTTTTATATGATCAAGAACATTAGCTGGTTTTAAATTTGAAAATGCATGTGAACGATGTCGATGTATACCATTATCATTGCTAAATGAAACAGTCATTGGATTTTCTTCATCATCATGGATATGCGACATTGATTTATATATTTAGACTCTCACAATAACGAACAAAAATGAAATTGCGTGGATACATATGGTGTACCTTTTCTTTTTCCTTCATACGTCAACGATTACCGTAAGCAAAAATCAAGATGACTCAGAATAATATTTTCATTATCAAATAATATTTACTTGACGTATTCGCCCACATATTTTTATCGTGATACGTGTAAGATGAATTATATTCCTTGAAAACGATATTAAGTTGAAGGAAACTAGAAGAGCAAGGACAATATATACAAAGCTGTTCTTCAGTGGCATCTACCGATAATAGTATAATATGTGATTTTTTTTAAAGATATCATAAATGTTGAAAAAAGAGGACGTCGCTGGAGAATGAGTAGTTGTATCTACTTATGGTTGTTCTATATTCCTAATAGTAAAGATGAGTTTATTTTCATTGAAACAATTTCTAGTAAAAGTAAGGAATATCATCGTTTCCGTTCAATAATAAAACAGGTAATACTATTTTCTATCTTTTTCATAGGAGATTAATTTTCATATCATGTCTATTACGAGACTGTCAAGTTTTATGCATGATTGATTCTCCCATGCTAATTTCTATTTCGTTTTTACCCTATTTTTTTCTCCTTTTTTTCTATGTATATTATATAAAGAAAAAATAAGATTGGTGACATGATTTATTCTATCACTTAGATTCAAGACATGAATATAAAAAAAAACAAATAGATATTAATCTACAAAAAAAAAACGAATGAATAGACACATACAAATGGCTTTCTTTGATTGTCTGTCTCCTTCCCCATGTTGACAACTATTATTGTTGATTAGATGCTATCTATTGTATAAAATTACCAGTATAAAAAATCATCTAATATAAATGAGGACCATAACATTCGTTCACTTGTATATATAATGTAGCGTAAATGATGAGTAACTAATACATATATGTTGAAGATATCTAGTAACATTTTGCTATAACGGCAAAGAAGAAAAATAGAAGAAGAAAACGAGACAGATAAAGGCATAAGAAAATGAAGTTTATAATTTGAATAGACATTTAAATGTGATACATATTATACTACAGAAAAATTGAAATAAAAATAATTTTTCTTTTCTATAAATTATATAGGTGGTCCAAGAAAGCCTGGTGATATTTTGCCACCACCTGTCCAATCTGTAATAAGTCTCCCAGGTTGTGATGGATATGATAAAGGATATGATCCAGTCCCACCTGACATACTTGCTGGTAGAGGAGCCTGAGCTTGTGCATTATTATATGCAGGTTGTATTTGTGGTTGTTGCATGTATGGCGTTGACATTGACGGAGACGGAAGAGCCATATATGACTGAGGCATAGCTGGTGCTGCTCGTTGTTGTTGCATCATCATAGGTTGAGGTTGAATATATGAAGGAGAAGCATAGTTATTATAACGTATTGGCATATACGATGGTGACATTTGTTGCATTGGTGTATAAGTCTGTGGCATTTGTGGCATTTGTGGCATTGGTCGCATAGCTGAGTAAGAACCATATAGAGCTCGACGAGCCATTGGTTGAACCATTGTTGGTATAGCTGCTGGTGCTGTTGTTATAGATCTTCGACGTCGAAAAATGCTTGGCCTGTGTTTTTCCCCACCTGGACCACTATGTCTAGCAAATGATGATGGTTTCTCTGATTGGTGTACGTACCATTTTCGAGAATTGCCGAGACCCATAACTATTTCTTTTTAGAACGACCTCCTTCGCTACTCAAATAAACACATCAATTAGGCATTTGGTTCATGCGTACTGCTATACATGAGAGACAGAACGAGAGCGAGTGAGAGAGAGGAAAAGACAAAGAGAGACAGCGCGAAATAGATGCACAGACTATAACTTACGATGAGATAGAAAAACAAGAAAAAAAGAAGCCATTCAGGCAGAACGAAAAGACCCACACATATTCTAATGACAACACAGTCGAGGTGTCAATATTATCGTTAATAATAATCACTAATATAACATAACTAGACAACAATGAATAATTTCAAGGTCTTTTATTTAGACGATTGAACAAATGGATGACAAACTATCTCAATCATCAGATTTCATTCATGATAATAGAACATTATCACCATCATCATCATCATCATCATATGTTTCAAAACTTGCGATAATACCTACAGAATTATCCATTGATCAACAACAACAACATGATAGTTCCAATTCATCAGATTCTTCTGAATATGATATTACTAATGTATCATCAATATCTATGTCACATCAACATCCATTTCAACTTCAATCAATGAAACATGTTCTATTAGGTTTATCTCCTTCAACAAGTCGTTCAACATCTCCTACATATTCTTTTCATCATCAACAACAATTAAATGAAACAAATGTCTCAATCAAAAAAAATTCTCATCATCATCATTATGAACAACCATTCATACATAACAATAGAAATAATCACTATCGAACTCGTTTAGCTTCATCTGCAATTAATCGTCAGAAACAACAACAACAAATTGAACGTGAAAATTTAGTATGATATTTTAAAAATTTAATTTTATCGATATATCAATTTTCTTTTTATTGTTTTGTAAAATATGACCTATAAAAAATGTTCAAGTACAACGAGAGAAACTTGTCCTCATAGACCATGACAAAACACCTTGACAATGCCCCTATCACTGACCGTGACTGACATTTTGACAATACTCCTATTACTGACCGTGACAGAGACAGATATCATATAAAGACCGTGACAGACACCGTTGCAGCATCTATTACAAACCATAACGAACATAATTTCAAATGTGACATATATTGTATATATTTATAAATTACTAAAAAAAACTGATAGGTCATTGAAATATCACAATCATTTAGAGGACTATTGATTTAATTATAATTGATGAAACAATAAAATCTATCGAATGTAGACAATAGTAGATAATTTATATTCTATTCGAAATTTTGTTAATAATTTTCTTATTTTGAATAGAAAATTTTACAACGTCTACAACAAATTCGTCCAAGTCGTAGTTTAAAACGAGATGAATTATTATCTGATTATGATCGTCAAATGAATCTTATTACATATTCAACTGATTCACGTTCTCGTGTTCCTAGTCGTCTTTCAAATACATCTTTTATATCATCTACTTCTTCTGTATCAGAAAAAAATCATCACATTCAAAGTCGACCATTATCTGCTACTCATTTATCGAATAGAAATAGTCTAGATTTCTTTTCAATATCAACACGAAAACCATTATGGAATGATCGTTGGCAACAAGAAGAATGACTTTATATATACATATATCTTTTTTTTTGTTTGTTATATTTCAATAGAATGATTATATCTATGATTTTATTTCTTTTTATGGCACTGGCGATGGTAGAATCGATTGTATTGTTATTGTTTTCAATAAAGATTGCTGTTTTTTTTCATCATATTTTATTTTATTGTATAAAACAACACCAACTAAAGCTAAACTAATACCAAATAAATTCATTTTAGTAACAGGATTATGAAGAATAAGTATGGAAATAATAATAACAACAAGACGTTTTGTACTGCCTGCTATAACATAACTAAGTGGTGAAAGACGTGAAATCATTGTAAATGCAAGAACATTATAAATAAAATTACAAAGACCATCCATTAACATAAAAAATATGACTGTTAATGTTAACTAGAATACATAATTAGATAGATTTCAACAACAAAAAAAAGAAATAGTATACTTCTTGTCTAATATCAATCTGTGGTCCATCAAATAGAAACCAGAATGGTATAAGAAGACACCAAGCAAATTTAGAAAGAATCGATAGAAGTGCTAAATGATGTATATCAATATGTTGAAGTGTTTTTTTTGAGTAAATATTTTGTATTGCTAATAAACCTGTACTAAATAATGCACTAATTAAACCAATTGCATCAAATGATAATTCACTCAATGATGCTATAATAACACCGACAATAATCGGTATTAATGAAATATATGTCTAAATAGATTATTATACTAATGAGAAAATTTGTTTTTTCTCGAAACTAACCATAAATGATTGTTCTTCACTAAGTATAATTCTTGATAATACAACTGTAAATATAGGCATTAATGCTTTAACTGTATGTGTATAAGACACAGGTACTAATCGTAAACTTATTTGTGAAGTTAATTGTGAAAATAATTTTCCTATTGCTAATGGAATTATTATTGATATATAATAAATACGTGTTGAATATAAATAAGTTGGTTGTGGTATATTCATTAAACGAAGTAATGGTACTGAATAAGCCCAACCATGAAAAAGTTGTGCAAGTGTAACACTAATTGGATGTGGAAAAATAGTTAATAAACGTTTACCAACTATATTTGCAAGTGAACTTATTAAATACCATAGAAAAATTAGAATACATAATTGTACAGTTGAATTCGATAACATGAAATTAAAAAAAAAACTTATAATTTATATATTTATTGTAGCGCGTCATAATTTTACTAAGAAATAAATGATTTATTCAAATTACGTCATTAAGTATAGATTGAACAATTTTTTGAGTACTTATTCTAGTTTTTTCAGTATACAGTTTTATACATATCATTAATTGACAACGTAACCTTCGCTTTATAAATAGACATTGATCATCAATATATTTATTTCTTTATAGAATGAATTGAGACGTTATCAAGGAAAAGTATCAATAAAACTGACATGTCTACATGTTATAATTGTCAACGAACAGAATATAAGATGACATATTATTATATATATACTGTTATTAATTATATGCTCAATGTCAATATGATAGAGAAAAGAAAATTTTCAGATGGTTTAAGTATTAAAATATTAGTTATTGAAACAATTGTTTCTAAATTATTTTCTTTGCAAAGAAATAATAAACGTTTATCTAACTGATAGCTGATAACGGTGGTTTTGTAGTTTGATGATAAAGAAAAAAGTTAAGATATGTAGAATAAAACAAATATTTTGCTTTCATCACTCAACGCATTTATTTAAAGTAAATGTAATTCATTGTTTTTTTGTTGTCGTGTCATTGTGAAAAATATTTTTACTTCTTTAATAATTATGCTTTGGTTATTTCTTATTCTTCCTGTAATAAGTGTAACTAGTCGAACAATTATTACTGATAATCATTCATCAAATGCAATATCAGATCGTATAATTGAATTAGTTACACAAGGTGCTTTTCGAGGTGTAACATATAATCGTTTAGCTGCATTAGCTGATACAATTGGTCCTCGTCTATGTGGAAATGAATCATTATCAAAAGCTATTGATTGGGTACAAAGTGCAATGATTAAAGAAGGTTTAGATAATGTTCATGTTGAAGAAGTTAAAATACCTCATTGGGTACGAGGTGAAGAACGTGCTCATTTACTGCAACCACGTTTTACAAAATTATCAATGCTTGGTTTAGGTAATTCAATTGGTACTGGACCAACAGGTATTCGAGCACCTGTACTTGTTGTTCGATCATTTGATGAATTAAATTTACGATGTGCAGAAGCACGAAATAAAATTGTTGTTTTTAATCCACAATGTGATTGGAAAGCGCAACCATTAGCTTGTTATGGTACAGTTGTTGGTTATCGTGTTGGTGGAGCATCAAGTGCAGCGAAATGTGGAGCAGTAGCTTCTCTTAGTCGATCAGCTGCATCACGTTCAATTGATTCTCCTCATACAGGTGTTATGTCATATGATTTAACATATCCAAAAATTCCAGCTGGATCACTTTCAGTTGAACATGCAGATATGCTTGATCGTTTTCAACAACGAAATCAATCTATTGAAATATATCTCTATATGGAAGCACAAACATTACCTGATGTTGTTGGTTATAATCTTGTAGCTGAAGTAAGAGGTGCAAGTTTACCTAATGAAACTGTTCTTGTTAGTGGTCATCTTGATAGTTGGGATGTTGGTCAAGGTAAATTAATTATTGTTTAAGTTTCTAATATTTCATATTTTGTTTTTCAAAAAAAAAGGAGCAATGGATGATGGTGGTGGTGCAATGATTTCTTGGACTGTTCTTTCTTTACTTCATTCATTAAACGTTCGTGCTAAACGAACAGTTCGTTGTGTTCTGTGGTCATGTGAAGAATTTGGTGGTATTGGTGCTGAACAATATTTTACTGCACATCAATCTGAAGTACCAAAAATGAGTCTTGTTATGGAATCTGATCTTGGAGTATTTCATCCTCAAGGTCTTCAATTTCTAGGAAGACCTCAAGCACAACAAGTAAGATCATAATCAATGAATCTTTAATTAAATAAAATTCTTGTAGATTGTCGAATCTATATCAAAACAATTGTCATCAATTAATGCAACACAAGTTGTATCAGGTGGTGGTGGTGAAGATATTAGTCCATGGACGCAACGTGGAGTACCTGGTGCATCACTTCTTAATGATAACTGGGATTATTTTGCATATCATCATTCAAATGGTGATACAATGAATGTACTTAATTCAACTGATGTTGATTTAGCAGCTGCTGTTTGGGCTGTTTATGCTTTTTCTATTGCTGATCTTGATAATCTTTTACCACGATAGTTTTATATATGATTTTATATTAAGTCAGAAATAAATAAAGAAATTTATTGTAAAAGTCACATGCAACTCAATAAATATCGATTTTCATTGTGTAAACATTTAGTTAAAATTCATCTTATGGTATATATATCCTTTCAATTACTTTCATAACGTGTTACTTTATTATTCTTATATGTAAAAAAATGCTTCGTTGACAAACGAATAAAGACATACACAACAAGCTGAAGAGAAAAAAACGAATCAAATAGTAAATTACAATTTTTAATCATGGCATCAAGGAGTAGTGGAATATGTATAGTTATTTTTGATGAAGTAGAAAAATTGACGATATCAATATTTAATACAATAATCGAATCTATTGAATTATTTCGAGATCTATCATCATGTATTTCATTTGTTAAACAACAAATAAAAGAAGATAAAGTAGTTGTTTTAATAACAACAAGTATATTAGAAAATATATTACAAACATTTGAATTATTAACATCGATTGAAGCTATACTTATTTTATTGACAGACAATCAAAATATAAATGTATTACCAAGTAAAGTTATTGGTATTTATTCTCAGATAGATATGTTATTAATATCTCTATCAGATATACTTACTACAATTGAACAACAATTAAATGTTAAAAGTTTACTTTTTAATTATCAAACAAATGGAAACGATAATTTAGATTTTTATTTCTATAATCTGTGGAAAAAAGATACTGAAGAATTAAAAAGTACAAAAAAATCTCTTGTAGAACAAACTCATCTTTTCTTACCATCGAATGATCAAATAAAATCTTTCATCAATGATTTTAAAACATCATACAAATCAAATCAAACTATTACTTGGTTAGACAAACAACGTCATCCATTTCCATATTATCTTCTTATATCAAATGCAATGCGTATTCATGATCAAGAAATTTTATCACTTACTCGATTTTTTTTCAATGATCTTACTAAACAAATAAAACCTATACCATTAGAATCAAATGATAATCAAGTATATTTAGGTACTAAATTATCAACAGATCTTGTAGATCGTCTTGAAAAATATGATAGTACAGGGATTATTGCATTTCAATGTTTTCTTCCTGTAACAAGATCAAGAGCTTGTGCTGTATTTGAAGCTACACAAGCATCTCGTGGTTCTAAGACAGTTAATGTTTTATTTAAAATTGATATAAATAATTTATTAGGCATAACTCTCGGTGAGACACTTCTTATTGATATCGCATTACCATTTCGTATTTGTTCGGTATCAAGAGGTGCTAATACAAATGATGGTTATGAATTATTAACTATAATTAAATTAACAGCATTGAATCAGAATGAGAGAGATCAACTATTCGAACAATTTATTGGCCGTCAAGAAAAACTAGGAAGAACAATTGATGATGTGTTTAAAAGAATAAGATTGAATATCAGGTTTGTTTGTTTTACTCTTATATTCAATATCATATTTTGTTTCTAGTGACAATGAAGTTTTAGCAGATGAATATATAGCACGTGGTGAATGGTCTGAAGCTCGTAATATTTTTGTTCGTATGATAAATCCTAATGTTCGTGTTCTAAATAAATATGGATGTTTATTACGTGAACATTTTGATAATATCCAAGATGCATTGAATTGTCATCAACAAGCATTATCAAAAGCTACGAATCGAGATAAAGCTGAAACTTTAATTTACTTAGGTTTAGTTTATGATAATATGAAAGAATACAATAATGCATTTCATGTTTATTCTCAAGCATTACAATGGTTTGAAAATGAAAAAAAACGAGATTCAATAATGATTGCTCGTTGTCTTATTGGTCTTGGTAATATACAATGGTCTCGACGAGAACTTGATGAAGCACTTCATCTTACTGAACGTGCTTTAGTTATACGTGAAAAAGAAATTAAACCAAGAAATGATTTTGATATTGCTACTTGTCTTAGTAATATGGGTAATATATTACATGATAAAGGTGATATTCAACGTGCATTATTATATACTACACGTGCAGTTGATCTTTTAAGTACGTGTGGAAAAGATGATCCTCGTTTTGCAGCAGCCTTGAATAATTTAGGTGCAATTTATCAAACTAATGGGAATTTAATTAAAGCACGAGAATATTTTGAACGTGCACTTGAATTATTACCTGATAAAAATCATTCATATCGTGAAAGTACATTGAATAATATTGCTCGACTCGATATAATTGAACAATTGAAGAAATGTCAATAAGGGAATGTTTATTTATTGTTAATTTTTACATATTAAATCATTAAAAGTAAATATAAAAAACATATTTAAAACAATCGTATAACTTCAGCTATGCTGCTCTAATCAAAAATTAAATGAAAGACTAATAATCTCAATTGGAAGAGTAAATATAGAAATATTTATAAACGATAAGTTTTGATTGCATTCTCTTTAAATATTAAATTAAGTTCATCTTTTGATAATCCTGCATCATTTTCTGCAATATCACGATAAACATTAACAAGTTCTTCATATGTTATATTTAATTTATCTACTGGAAAATTTGATCCAAACATACAACGTTTTGGTGTAAATAAACGAAGACATTCAAGTATATATGGTGATAAGATTTCTTTTGACCATGTATGATTAAACATAACTAATCCACTTAATTTACAAATAACATTGGTTTGTTCAGCCATATGTTTCATACCTTCTTTCCAACCATCAAAATCTTTTTGACCATCAACAGGTAAACCACAATGATCAAGAATAAGTATTGCATTTGGATATTGTCGTGCTACTTTCGATGCATCAATCATTTGTGATGGATATACATGAAAATCAAATGATAAAGAATGTGATATAAGTAATTGAAAACCATCAAGCCATGTTTTATCAGTTAGATAATCACCACGATCAGTCATTGATAAACGTGGATCTGTTGTTGACCAATTAAGTAATTGACGAACACCTTTTACACGTGGATAATCACGAGTATAAGTTTCTAATAGAGTTGGTAATTCTGGTGATGCTAAATTTGCATGAGCAACAATACCATGTGGAAATCCGCCAGAACTTTCATTTGCAATTTGTTCTAGAAATTTAACTTCTTCTATAGAATCACTTGCTTCAGCTTGAACATGAACAGATTTAATTAAATGACATGAAGGATTTGTTGCATCACGAAGATAATTTTCAAGTAGATAATCTTGTTTTAAGAGATTAATATCACCAGCAAGATGCTCTGGTGCACCACCTTCAGATACTGGTTTAAGCCAGTTATATTTAACTCGATTCGATGAAGATAATGACCAAAGATGATGATGACTATCAACAATTTCAAAAGCCATAGCTGTTTTTTTGTATGTGCGTTAAATGTATATGTAACCTAGACTGTACTTTTTGATAAGAATAATACTTCAACTCTAGAGGCGATAAGAGATAATAAAATCAAGAAGAAAAAAAAGATATCTTTATAACAATGAATGTTTAACATTCTCTCTTTTTTTATATTATTATTTAACAAAAAACAAAACAAACATCAAGCCGAATAAAGTATAATATTGAATTCTTTTTTTAATTTTAATCTGACATTACAATTAATATTTACAAGAATTTATATAAACAGAAAAATACATATTATTTAAACAGAAATATTTGCATTTGTTGCATTACTTCGTAATCGTTTTGTTTGTTGTTTATTATTTTCGGAATTCACTGTTGAAGTTGTCAATGAACGTTTATTAATACGTTGTGCTAAATCAATTTCATCATTATCTTGTTCATCAATTTGATCAACAAGTGTATTGACAACTGTTGAAACAGTTTCATCATCTTGTTCATCATCACTCATTTCTTCTAAAGTTTTCATATAAGCTTTTTTAAGTAAACATACATCAAGAAATTGTGCACCACCACGACAACCAAAAGCTGATTTCCATAAACGACCAGTTGTTGATGAAGATAAGATTTCATCATCATCATCTTCATCTAAAAGAAGATATCTAGAATTCAGTATTATAAAAGAAGTTCTTATTTACCTTCTTGATCATCGACAAGTGTCATTGGTGTATTAAGAAAAAGTTTTGCATTAAATTGCGGTAATTCATCTTTATGTTCTAATAATTCACAGAGATATGTTTGTCGCTCGGATAATTCTTTAACTTGTACTAATAATTGTCTAACATAATGTTGTTCAAATAATTGTGAACGTTCATCACAACGGAATTTAAATTTTAAATCATCGTGAAAAATTTCAATTGATAATAATCTGGGTGACAAAAGTTTTGCATGTAATTCATGTTGATCATTTTTAATTCCATCAATTGTTAATATTGTTTTTAAACGTGTTAAAAATTTCTGTATATCATCATGATGAAATGATGTTTTACGTAGATTATTTAATAACTGTAAACGTTGTCGAATTTTTTCTTCAGTTAAATATTCGAAGTAGGCTGTGCCATTTAGATAAAATGCAATTGATATTGATTTTGATGTAAAATGTGGTTGGCATAAAAGAACAAGATGACGATATGGTTGATCAGTTGAACCAGCATATATTGTTAATGGTGAGGACATACGAATAAGACGTATTGGTGTTTGATTAAATGTACGTGTACATGTTGAAGCAAAATCTTCAAATGACATATCTGAAAAAAATAAGAATTTATTTATTAAAAAAACTAAAAAAAGATTTATAAAGTTGATGAGTAGACTTGATTTTTCAGTATATGTTTTTGATATTGAATATTTAATTGTTCAATAAATATAAATGTAAGAATTGTATGAGGACCAAGACGTGAAAAGTAAGGAGTAAAACCTTTCCAAAAACTTACTGCACCTTCTTTATGAAGAATTCGTTGGAAGACATCCTAGAATAGAAAAATACAAGAATCAACTATGTGATTTACCTTATTAATTAAAACAAAAGGTTCTATTTCATTTTTCTGAATAAGACAGTGGTACCAATCACTTACTAATATTCCATTATATTCAGGTTTTCCTTGTATAACTTTCATATTCTGATAACGTGTTTTAATAATATCAACTGGTAATGAAACAGTTGTTGTAATAAGTGCAGCCATTAATGATGCTACAACATGTAAAGGTAAACCTTGTTGCATAATATCATTAGAAATTAGAAGTTGTTTAGCTTGTGAATAAGTTGGCATTTGAGCAGCATTAACAATCATAGCTCGTGTTACTGTTGGTATAGCACCACGCCATAATCTTAAGATACCTTCTTCACGTATTATACGAATAAGAGCATCAAATACATGCTTATAATTTCTTCTTTCCTCAATTGGTAATCGTCCATCAAGTGACATTCGAACTAATGCTACTTCAGCTGGTGTACCAATAAATGAACCTAAACCTCCACTAACAATACCCAAAAGAAGATTAATAAAAAAACGTGGCGGACGACCATCTAATTCACGAAAACGTTCAAATAAAATTTGATATACACCTAAACGAGCTGTTGTATATGTTGCTTGACGTAATAAACCAGCTGAAAGACTAAAAAAGATTTTTGTAAATTATTTTATTAAAAAATCTACCTTGCATATAATCCACGAATACCTTCATTACGAAATATTGTTGTTATTGCATGAAAAGTTGTTTTATATTCTCTAATACTACCTTCTGCACCACTCATTTGCATTCGATTTTTTACTAGATCTAATGGATTAACAAACATAGTTGCAGACATTCTAAATAAGAAGGAAGTAATTCAATTGAACGAAGAATATATTATTAAAATATACCCGGCTATACCACCGATTAAAAATTTCACTGAATTAGGTGTATTAGTTGATAAAGATTTTGATTCCATACTTTTCTATCTTGTTTCCATTGCTAAAAATGAAAGATTGATTATTTATCTTTCTGCTCATATGTTTTATGACAGGTGCAGAGAGAGAATGTCCTAATTGAGAACCAATTGAAAATTGTATATGACATCCGTGAAAGAAAAGCGACCATGGAATGCAGATGTCACTTCTCTATTATTAATTGTAAGAGATATAGATCATAATCATAAAATCGTGTATAAAACAATAAAAAAAATTTATTCATCAGTTCAGAGAGCACTAAAATATAATGCATAGAATGATTACATATATGTTCTTAAAAATATCTATCTTATTCAAAATTAATTATATTTCTAGATTAAATCTACATGATTAAAAAAAACACAGTTACATAATATTGTCTATGTTTTTATATTTCGTTCTGTTGTTAACACATAAGCAAGAAGTGCATAGATTGCAATAATAAGATATGCTACACCGGGTAGTGTATATGCCACAGACAATTGTTTAGTTTCTTCTGAAATTAAACCCATTAATGGAGTAAATACGGCTCCACCAATAATAGCCATAACAAGAAGACAACTCGCTAATTTTGTTGTATGACCACTCATACCTTTAATACCTAACGCAAATATTGTTGGATACATTAACGACATAAAAAATGATGTAAAAAATAATGCAGCAAGTCCAAATGAATTTGGTGCAAGAACAGTAATAACAATTAATAAAACATTAATAAGTGAAAATAGTGTTAATAGAATTGATGGTGAAAATCCAAAGTGCATAAGTAACGCTGAAGTAAGACGCCCAAGTGCAAACATAACTAATGTACCAGTTAATAAATAACCACCTATTTTTTCTCCAACATCAACATAATCTTGAGCATACTGCATAAAATATGACCAAGTACCAACTTGTGCACCAACATAAGCAAATTGTGCAATTATAGAAAATAAAAATAATGCTCGACAAAGAGAATTTTCTCCTTTTTCTTCTTTTTTTATTGTTTTTGTATTCGTTGGAAATGGTACAAAAGCAATAAGTATAGCCCATAAAAATGTGATACCACCAAGTATTACATATGGTCGAACAACACGTAATGTTTCTTGTTTTAAATAATTATCATATGTTTTATTAAGACGCATTTGTTCAATTTGTTTATCATTTAATTCAATACCAGAAAAAATAAACAATGTTCCAATAAGTACTCCTGTTATAGCACCCAATGGATTGAATGCTTGTGCTATATTAAGACGTTTTTCAGATGAAGATGCTGGTCCAGTAGCATTTGCTATAAATGGATTAGCTGCAGTTTCAAGAAAAGCGAGACCAGTTGCAATAATAAATAAAGAAATTAAAAAAGGTGTATATTGCCCAATAAGAGCTGCTGGCCAGAAAAGACATGAACCTGTACCAAAGAGAAATAAACCAAGAATAATACCAGTTTTATAACCCCAACGTCGAAGAATATAAGCTGCAGGTAAAGCCCATATAAAATATCCCATATAGAATGCTGATTGAACAAGACCTGCTTCAAAGCGAGATAAAATAAAAGCTTTTGAAAATTGTCGAATAAGTACATCATTTAATTGATTTGGTATTCCCCAAAGAAAGAAAAGAAATGTAACAAGAATTGTTGATAGATATTTATATTTCTTATTAGGTTCTGATTCTATTTCAATTAACATCGGTTCACATTCAGTTGGAAGTACGTTTGTATTTGAATCTTGACTTATTACAGGTGAATTTTCAATATGAGTATCATTATTATTATTCATCTTAATATGAATAAGACTTGGATGTGGTCCATGAAGAATTTGAGTAAATATAGATTCTTCGTTTTTAGTGATACAATTATCACTTAAATCAAGTGAAATTAATGTAGAATTTGATTGAAGTGCATCAGCGATAAGTGCTGCACCATCTGGTGAAATATTATCATGTGTAAGAGATAAGTGTTTTATAGTATTATTATGTCGTATAAGACTAGCTATTGTTGCAGCATCAACATTTTGTAAGTTAGATAATGTTAATTTTTGTATACTTTTATTTTTTTGTAATCCTTCATTAAGAATAATATCAAATGAATAAACCGATTGACTAACTGAATCAAAAATTAATTCAACTAGATAAACTTGTTCGCATAAATATTTAGCTAAAACTCCAGCATCACTTTGATATAATTGAAGATTAACTAATGAAAGACAACATAAACGACTATTAGTAAATATTGAAGTCCATAGATTTGGAATTATTTTTGCTGTACCATTAGCACTTAATATAACATGAATATCATCATCATTCGTAGTTGATGATGATAAGACAGAAGTTGATGAG